TCTAGGGTTCTCAACCCTAGGCCCTAAACCCTAAACCTAGGATGAACGAGTTCTGGTCTGGTTTACAGCTGAATTCTGGCCTTAGGCCCCTTAGCCCTCAGCCCCCAAAAGCCATGAAGGAATTCTAAACCCTCCACCCTGTACCTCCACCCTCAACCCTAAACCCTCAACCCCAAACCCCAAACAAACCCCAAACTCCCACAGGCTGGGAAACTCCGACAGGCTGGGGAGGCCACCCCAGGGCGTGGGGGCCCCAGTGGTCCCCAGCACCTGCTTCAAGGTTTCGGGGTTCGTGGTTTGGGGTTTGGGGTTGAGGGTTGGGGGTTGGGGGTTGGGGGTTCGGGGTTGGGGGTTCGGGGTGAGGTTCTAAGTTTCAGGGCTTGGGGTCGCATTAAGGGATTAGTGTCTTGGTTTGGGGCCTCTTGCGACGGCACGCACCACTGAACCTCAAAGCCTGCGCCCGATCCTTTGTTCTCACTACCATCTTCCAGCTGGGCTGACCGGAGCTTTTCGGGCACGGCCACAACCCTAAGACCCGAAACCCGGGCAGCGGCAGCAGACTGCGCGTAAACACCCAGGAAAAGCAAACCTGCAGAAAACATCGCCGTGCCTCTCGATCTCATCCTGTGGATGCTTCCGGAAACCCTCAACCAAAACACCCTTAGCCCTTAACCCTAAACCCTAACCCCAAACCGAAGTAAACTCTCCACAAACACGCCTCGAGCCTTCACAGGGAACCCTGCCCACCCAAAACCCTTTGGCGGCTCCCCGCCTCTGCCACCAGGACGTATCCCACGTGCGCCTAGATTGCGATCAGGGGTTTAGGGTTTAGGGTTTAGGGTTTAGGGTTTAGGGTTTAGGGTTTAGGGTTTAGGGTTTAGGGTTTAGGGTTTAGGGTTTAGGGTTTAGGGTTTAGGGTTTAGGGTTTAGGGTTAGGGTTTAGAGAAAGCGGGAAGGTAAATGAGTAAATCTCATTTATCTCGAATTCCCCGCGAAGAGCTCGAAAGTTGAGGGTTGTAGGTGCTACCAGAAGATGCCTGAACGAACAGCTTCCGGGCATGGAGGCTGTAGGTTTAGTGTTCAGGGCTTGGGATTTTGGGTTTTGGGTACAAGGATGCCAAACTATCCTTGACAAACTGACAAAAGAGACCCGGACCCGACCTGCGGGAGCCTCCCTAGATTAGAAGCCTGCCTGAACCCCAAACCCTCGACGCTTCGTCCCCAAACCCGAAACCCTAGCCCTAAACCCTAAACCCTAAACCCGAAACCCGAAACCCGAAACCCGAAACCCGAAGCCCGGCCGGGGGCCCTGGCCGCATTGCAGGGACAGCCATGCACGGATGCCAGCTCTTCAGAGCGTCGCAAGGCCTGGCAGGATTTGGGGATTTGGGGTTTGGGGTTTACGGTTTCGGGGGCAGGGGTTTAGGGTTTAGGGTTTAGGGTTGGGACTCAGGCCTTACACAGTCAACACATAGAGGTCTCTGGCCTAGGGTTCCGGAACTCAATGTTTAGAAATCACGGCTCTGTGCCCTGAAGTTTTGCTCTTACAACCCTAAACCCTAAACCCTAAACCCTAAACCCTAACCCCTAACCCTAACCCCTTGAAGGCCTTCAGTGCATCTGGAGAGTAGTCTCCACGCTGGAGGTCTTGGATCCAAACCTTCGCAAGCACCAAGCACTTCGCACGTACAGGCTTCCAAATTGTGGCATTTTTGCGTTTTGGGTTTGGGGTTTAGGGTTTAAGGTTTAGGGTTGAGGGTTGAGGGAAGACTTCTCGAAATTGTGGTCTTTTTCTTTGATACTGTCTTTTTGTGGGGGGGGGGTTGCTACAAGAACACGGAGCAACACTGGAGAGCCAACGGCTGGGGGTGTAGTGAAAGGCATGAAGGAGTTGCCTCCTCGGCAATGACGTTGAACCATGAAACCTAAGCCCTATACTCATGCAAGAAGACCAATGCAATGAGACCCGTTGTCCACGCAACAGAACTCAGCATGAGCAAAAAAAGACGATAACACAAATGCTAGTGGCCATCTCGAATTTTTCTGCAATATTAGTAAAAACTATAAGTATAGTCCTAACGGACAAATCAGCAGCTGTACCAACGACTGAGACCGAGTCCCTATATAGTCCTCTATAGCGCCAAAGAAGCCCAACCGGCCAAGCGCCTCGAAACCCAAGCGCCCTCGCACACAGATAGTGAAGGCGAGGGACGGGGGGAAAGGATACCACAACTACTCCACAACTCAACCTTCCCCCCAGAAGACCCCAACACTCGACATCCCTGTGGGCAACTGCCGCCTGAAAGTTGAACATTACATGGCAGAACTATTCGAGTTTGGACATGGAATGAGGGAGTCCGGGAATTCGGAACCTTTAATCCGCCAAAATCACTCTTTGAGGGATTGCGTACGGCACCTAATTCTCTATTTCCCCAGAACCGGTAAGTTAAGTTCCAACCTAAATTCGAAGGCCCGAAACTCCGAACCCCAGGGTTTGGGAGTTGAGTTGTTGGGCGCAGGGTTCACCCTAAACCCGAAACCCTAAAACCCTAAACCTAAGCCGAAACCCTAAACCCTAAACTCCTAAACCCGAAACCCGACACGCGAAACCCTAAACCCTAGACACTAAACCCTAAACCCTAAACCCTAAACCCCTAAACCCTAAACCCTAAACGCAATGAATCGAAGCTCGAGGCCGGCGGTGGAAGGCGCCGCAGTGGGCCCCCATAGCTCCTAGTTTAGGGTTTAGGGTTTAGGGTTTCGGGTTTAGGGTTTAGGGTTTAGGGTTCAGGGTTTAGGGTTTAGGGTTTAGGGTTTAGGGGTTTGGGGTTTAGGGGTTTAGGGGTTTAGGGGTTTAGGGGTTTAGGGGTTTAAGGGTTTAGGGGTTTAGGGGGTTTATTGGTTCGGGTTGAGGGCGTTTGGCTGACAGTTTGATTCGAAGGTTAAGATGAGAAGCTCGCGCAGCTGTAAACTCAAGCTCTGGGCACGGAGGGATTTGATGGGGTGGGTTCCCTATCCTAAGTCCTTGAAAGGTTTTCGCATTGACAATTCAGGTTGGGCATAATGTGCTTTTAGGTTTTAGGGTGAAAGGTTGCAGGGTTTGGGGTTTAGGCAGGGTTTACATTTCAGGGTTGCCGGAGTTCATGCGGTTGGGGCGTTCATCCGAGAATCACCAGGTTTTGGGCCCCCAAGCAAGCGCGAAGCCGTCACAGCGGGAGAAGACCGTGCTCTTGCAAACACCCCCGCTAAACCCTGCACCCTAAACCCCAAACCCCAAACCCTAAACCCCAAACCCCAAACCCCAAACCCCAAACCCTAAACCCTAAACCCTAAACCCTAGACCCTAAACCCCAAACCCCAAACCCTAAACCCCACTTCAGCTGCCCGAGACCCCAAAACTCTCCCTCTACCTGCGGGCACATGTTGGGGTGTTTCCAGGGTAGGGTTTAGGGTTTAGGGTTTAGGGTTTAGGGTTTAGGGTTTAGGGTTTAGGGTTTAGGGTTTAGGGTTTAGGGTTTAGGGTTTAGGGTTTAGGGTTTAGGGTTTAGGGTTTAGGGCTTAGGGTTTAGGGTTTAGGGTTTAGGGCTATTCCTGAATATGCCCCCCAGAATTAGGGGATAGGATTAAGGGGGACCCTTGGGGATATAGACCCTCTGAATAAGGTCCGTGGTTAAGAGAGCTCCAGAAGAGGGTTAAGAAGGGGTTCCCTTGTAAGGGTCCCCCTTATCCTACACAGGAAGAATGCCATCATCCCTGCTATAGGGACACCTCAAGGAGGGTGAGCCCTGTAGACCCGCACGCTGAGCTCACCACGCATCACGTCGACCGGCCCAACCCTCATCGTGGCCCATGGCTTCTCACTCCAGAGGAATGAGGGAACAAATCTTGGGAGGGGGGGGGGGGGGTTGGGTTTTGGTAGTAACCGGGATAAAGGAATACATACTATGCAGATGATGCTATAGAGTACAGTACAGTAGAGCATCGCATGCTGGAGCCTGCTGAACAGCGCACGCTATGTGTTAGCCATGTCTGGTGACAGCAGCCTGCAGTCTTACACATCGACCTGCAGTTGCTCCTCTAAAACGTGTCTGGGCAAAAACGATCATGCAGTGTCACACAGCATGAATTCGAATCCAATCCTGAGCCCAAAGCTAGCGACGGACTCGAAGACTGAAAGCTTTGCACACTGGTAACGAGGCCCAGGTCGTCAACAAGCCAAGTTCCAGAACGCAAGACTCAGGTAACCCTTTGCATAAGCCCCCAAACCCTACACCCTAAAAAACAGAGTGGCTGCAAGGATGCGCACAGCAAGCAGCATTGCCCTGATTCCCACATACAAGCCGGGCCCAGCAATCATACAACCTTTGGCAGTATGGCCCCTACACCCGAACCCTAACCCTGAACCCTAAACCCTAAACCCTAAACCCTAAACCCTAAACCCTAAACCCTAAACCCTAAACCCTAAGCCCTAAGCCCTAAGCCCTAAACCCTAAACCCTAAACCCTAAACCCATCCATTGCCCACGCGAGGAACATCTTGAGCCTCAACGAAGCCAGACTGGCAGGGCAAGTCTGAGCAGGCCGAGGGTGACCGCTTCTCCGTGTCAGTCTACGAGGCAATGGGGAGTGTGCTCTTTTGAAGAGGGCTTAGGGTTTAGGGTTTAGGGTTTAGGGTTTAGGGTTTAGGGTTTAGGGTTTAGGGTTTAGAGCTTAGAGCTTAGAGCTTAGGGCTTAGGGCTTAGGGTTTAGGGTTTAGGGTTTAGGGTTGAGGGTTTAGGGTTTAGGGTTTAGGGTTTAGGGTTTAGGGTTTGCGGGTCCTTATTTCGTCAGGATTCATCTGATGTTTTGGAGCTTTCAGTGCTTTCACGGTAGTAGGGCGTCTTGCTGCAGACTTGTTGCAACGCGCTGCGGGTGCGGTGCCAAGGAGTAATTGGCCTGAGGACACTGCATTCTACGGTGCTACAGCTTGTTGAAAGCAGGTCTTCTGCTGAAGCGCTTTGCTCACATGGCGAGATGAGCGACTGCCTTCCACTTCGGCGGCGGCTTGACGAACTCGTGCTCACGGATCTCGAGATGAGCTGCCTTATAGACTGCCGTCCCGATGAGGACGACGATGACCCCAATGAGCGCCGCGATGCCCACGGGTGTGGCCATCGCAAAGGCACCCCACATGATCAAGCCGCCAATGATCATGCAAACGAAGTAGGCTCCAAAGCATCCAGGGCCACTGTTCGCACCACTACTCTCTCCAACGCAGCCGGCAAGAGAACCAAAGCCCATCATGAAGAACACGGTTGCGAAGAAGAAGCAAACGAGGCAAACGACGATGCACAAGATGATGAAGACCACCTCCTGCGCCCTCTCAGATTCGTCGGCGGCGAAGTCTGCCGCTGTCCTACCCTGCAAGAAGCTGGTGCCATCCGGGCCCAAGGCGCGAGCCAGACGCTCGGACTTCACCTGCAGCACGCCGCCTTCACTGCTTGCGCTCGTCGCGTTGGACAAGATCTGCTGGCTCTCTTCGGTGGTCTGGACTATGGATTCCTCGGATGGGGCCCTTAAAATACCCTCTGAACTGGTTTAGGGTTTGGGGCTTGGGGTTTGGGGGTTAGGGTTTAGGGTTTAGGGTTTAGGGTTTAGGGTTTAGGGTTTAGGGTTTGGGGTTTAGGGTTTAGGGTTTAGGGTTTAGGGTTTAGGGTTTAGGGTTTAGGGTTTAGGGTTTAGGGTTTAGGGTTTAGAGCTTAGAGCTTAGGGCTTAGGGCTTAGGGCTTAGGGTTTGGGGTTTAGGGTTTAGGGTTCAGGGTTTAGGGTTTAGGGTTTAGGGTTTAGGGTTTAGGGTTTAGGGTTTAGGGATCTTCCTGAAAACGATCCTCTTAAACCCAAACAAACAAGCCAGCAAGGGAAAAGGTACAAAATGTCCTTCCAGGGCCTACCAAGATTCGGGATCCATGGCTTCTTCACTCACGAGGAAGTCTTGGCAGTGTGCTGGGAGATCCAGGGTTACGTCCTTCAAGTCCTGGTTCATGGTTGGGATAGTAAAAAACATTGAAATTTTACTCCTTATTGAGTTTAAGTACCTTTAAACATGTAAAATGGTACCCAACTATGACAAAGAGTCATTGATGCTGTAGCCAGGGACGGACATGTAGTAGTTCACGAAGGTGCCCAGGCGTTCGCGGTCCGAGGCCGTCGCGTCACTGAGCACGCACTGGTCCTTGGTCTCGTGCTTGAGGAACCGGATGAGCATGTCGGGACGCTTCTTCAGGAAGTCCACCAAGGTGTTGTGCAACTTCGCCGGCACGGAGTAATCCTGGGAGCCGCGCACCTGGGAGATGCTCTTGCTTCCAGCCTCCTGGTACTGCTGGATGGTCAGCCGGTCCCGGCCGCGGCGCCAGTGCTTCATGTCGGTGTGCGCGGCACGCGCCGCGGCGACGGGGAAGTCCCCGGCTTCGGGAAGGAGGCGCATCGGGAAGGTCTCCATGATGTTGAGCATCTGGTTGGCCTCCTGCACCAGCTTCGAGGTCTCCTTCACGGAAGATCGGCCCGAGTCGCTCTCCGAGATCGCTGGGCTCCGCTCCAACTTCTCCGTAAGGTCCAAGACATCTCCCTTGATGTCCTCTTGGTTGTTGAGTTCACAAGCCCCCAGAAAGTGTACCCCTTCAGCTCTAGAGGGGATTATTCGAGTATCCCAAAAAGTGTAAAGTCTACTCACTCAGCTACTAAGGCCTCAAGCTTCTCAGCGATGCGGCCATCTGCATCCTCATGACTTGACCCGCCCACGGCCTTGCACTTCTGCACACTGCCGAAAGGCGCCAGGTTGTCCCCAGGGCCGGCGCCCACCTTCTCGCAGAAGTGGGAAGGGCCACAGACATCGTTCTCCGAGTCGTAGAAGCAGCGGAAGGCACAGGTACTTGGCTTGCCCATACCTTGTGGTCGAGCCCCCACCACCACCCAACGCAAAAAGGTCCGTCATTTTTTGTCCGCAAAAACTGCAAGCGAAAAAAAAAAACACATCTACACGGCTTCTGGTCCCGGACCCGGGAGCAGGACATCTCCCCCAGCATGCCGTCGACCAACATCATGAGATCGCGATCGGGATTCGCCATCTGCTTCGGGGCTTCGCCGGGCAGCTGCAGCTCCACGATGTCCTGGGACTTCGTCGCGTGAAACTGCACCTCGTCCTTGGCTGGCCGGCAGTGCAGAAAAGAGAAAATTGGCACTTCTAATTACAAACCGAGCCCCCCGCAAAAAAAAATAAAAAATAAATAAATATATATATATATATATTATATACAAGAGCAGGATTTCTCCTGGAACCGGCCAAGCAGCTTCTTCTGCCATCTTCTGCACACCCCGGCTGTTCATGAAGTAGCGGATGATCTTCCCGCCCTCCTTGTGCTCGTAGACCTTGTGCCCGGCGTCGCGGCCGAAGGGCAGGAGCTCTGAGAAGATGTTCTCGTTGGTCACTCCAACCACGGGATTCGTCTCCGTGCGGATCCAAAGGGCCTCGTCCTTGGAGTAGTGGCTGGAGCCGAAGCGGCCCTTGTGGTCACGGTAGGCCTGCCAGCCGGTGATGAAGATGGTGGCCATGCCGTCGATCTTCTGCATCGCCACCACGGCATCGGGCAAGATGCGGTACCTTGAGGACCACATGAACCCTAAAACTGGGGGTCATATACCCTATACTGCCCTATACTACCTATCAAGGCATATGAAGCCATAAACCCTTTGTAAGGCTCACAATTCGTGCCCAAAGGACCTGGTGTCCAGGCCATCGATCTCGACGTACGGAGGCGACTCGTGCTCCTTGAAACGGAAAGTGACGTTGGCGGAGAGCCAATCCAAGGAACTCTGCTTCCCCCGGGCCCACATGGTCGAGATGGAGAAGGAGCCGGCTTCGGTGACCTTCTCTTGCTGCTGATACCGATCAGAGGACTCCTTCATAGCGGCTCCCACGACCTGTGCGGCGTTCCCCGCGTGGAAGGAATCGCGTGCCGCGGAGACGTCCCTCATCGCCAACATGAAAATGAAAACGCAAGCCAGCCTCTGGCGGGTCATGTGTCGTCCGGCCATGAGAGCTGTAGGAAAAGCAAACAACGTTGAGGAGGTTGAGGATATTTGACAATGCTCGAGCCGTGGCTTGCCAACCATGTTGGTGCAGTAGCAGTAGTAGCAGTAGTAGAAGTAGTAGCAGTAGTAGCAGTAGTAGCAGTAGTAGCAGTAGTAGCAGTAGTAGCAGTAGTAGCAGTAATAGCAATGGTAGCAGTAGTCGCAGTAGAAGCAGTAGAAGCAGTAGTAGTAGTAGTAGTAGTAGTAGTAGTAGTAGTAGTAGTAGTAGTAGCAATAGTAGCAATAGTAGCAATAGCAGCAGTAGTAGCAGTAGTTGCAGTAGTAGCAGTAGTGGCAGTAGTGGCAGTAGCAGTAGCAGTGGCAGTGGCAGTAGCAGTAGCAGTAGCAATAGCAGTAGCAGTGGCAGTAGAAGTAGCAGTAGCAGCAGCAGTGGCAGCAGCAGTAGCAGTAGCAATAGCAGTAGCAGTAGCAGTAGCAGTTGCAGTAGCAGTAGCAGTAGTAGAAATAAAGCAATGGCAATAGCAGTAGTATTAGTAGTAGAACAAGTAGTAGTAATAGTAGTAGTAGTAGTAGTAGTAGTAGTAGTAGTAGTAGTAGTAGTAGTACTAGTACTAGTACTAGTACTAGTACTAGTACTAGTAGTAGTAGTAGTAGTAGTAGTAGTAGTAGTAGTAATAGTAGTAGAAGTAGTAGTAGTAGTAGTAGTAGTAGTAATAGTAGTAGAAGTAGAAGTAGAAGTAGAAGTAGTCGTCGTAGTAGTAGTAGTAGTCGTCGTCGTCGTAGTAGTAGCACTGGTAGCGGTAGTAATAAAAGTAGTAGTAATAGTAGTGGTAGTCGTCGTCGTCGTAGTAGTAGTACTAATAGTAGTAGTAGTAGTAGTAGAAGTAGTAGTAGTAGTCGTAGTCGTAGTCGTAGCAGCAGCAGCAGCAGCAGCAGCAGCAGCAGCAGCAGCAGCAGCAGCAGCAGCAGCAGCAGCAGTAGTAGTAGTAGTAGTAGTAGTAGTAGTAGTAGTAGTAGTAGTAGTAGTAGTAGTAGTAGTAGTAGTAGTAGAAGTAGTAGTCGTAGAAGTAGTAGTAGTAGTAGTAGTAGTAGTAGTAGTAGTAGTTGTAGTAGTAGTAGTAGTAATAGTAGTAGTAGTAGTAGCAGTAGTAGGAGTCGCAGTAGTAGCAGAAATAGTAGTAGTAATGGTAGTAATAGTAATAGCAGTAGTAGTAGTAGTCGTCGTCGTCGTAGTAGTAGTCGTGGTAATAATTGTAGGAATAATAACAATAATAATAGTAGTAGTCGTAGTAGTAGTAGTAGTAGTACTTGTTGTAGTAGTAATAATGGTAATAGTAGTAGAAATAATAGTAATAGTAAGCAATAGTAGTAGTAATAATAATAATAATAGTAGTAGTAGTAGTAGTAGGAGTAGTAGTAGTAGTAATAATAGTAGTAGTAGTAGTAGTAGTAGTAGTAGTAGTAGTAACAGTAGTACTACTAGCAAGCACACGCGTTCTTGCCCAATCCTGTTCAATTCCCACTACGACTGCGATACTCCGAATGCCTTGATCTTTGGGAGTTGGTTACCCAAAATCTCGTGCGATGGTGACAGCTCACAATCTTCACAGTGCAATGCCACGTGTGTCCACAGCATGGTGATAGGCCTCCGCTTGGGCCAGTCATGACTTGCTTTAGTCGCCAAATTGCCATTGTGGACGGACAACTTTGGCGTACTTAAGGTTGTGCTTTACACAAGACCGCGTCCATGCTTGCATGCAGGAAGATATGCACCAGGTATTCATCCTGCCTATGACCCAATAGAACCTTAAGGTCGCTTTGCTTGACAATTTCTTTTGGGCTCTTCAACGCTTTTCTTGTTGTACAGACTTCTTATGTAGTGTTGTTAAGAATGCTTTTTTACCGTAGATATGTTATGTTATGCGAAGATGTTGAAAAACTTCTAAATCCGTGAAACGTCTGCAGAAACATAAGAAACTTGCAAAACAACACCAAACATAATATCTGGATGCTGTAACTTGGGAAATTCTACATCCGTTTTCTTCTGCCTTCAGGCCTTGCACCAAAACCTGCAGAATCTGAAACCCATAAGGGGCAGCAAAATTGATTGAAAAGGTAGAGAAGCTTCCAGTGACCTCCACAGTTGGAGAAAGTTCCAGTGCCAAACAAGTTTACACTTTGCCGCCTTGCTGCCTGCTGTTCTAATTTTGGAGGAAGACTAAGAGGCTTATTTGTTTAGGCTTTCAGACCCGCAACTGGGCCCAAAAATGGCTTCTAAACTTGGGTTCCAATTTAAGTCCAACCTGGGTAACCTTCTATGTTCACACAGGAAATTTAATCTAGGGCCGTTTTCGGTGCCAGAATTAAGCTGCTTTTGGAACTTATTTAAGTTTGATGATGATTAAAATAAACTTACAGACAAACAAGATTTTTTCGATTTCTTGCTCTCCACTGAAACTTTTCTGACACACTGAAGCCAAAGACATGCACCCGCAAACCAACCCACTGGAACCACAAACGCACACACACACACACACATCTACAACACTCTTGTGCATACACCAACAGTTTTTCACTGTCTTTCTGCTCAATCAATGGCTGATCGGCTAACATTACTTACCAAAACACTTGCTAAACGATTTGGTTAAGGGCGGTTAGAAGCAAGAAACGCTAGAATTAGCTTTTGCAGACGTTGCTGTAGAAATTCTAAATTGGAAGACGTGGGAACTACAGAATCAAAGAGTAGAAGTTGAAGTTCCATGTCTGAGTGTTTACCTTAGTGACTTTGTCCATTCTAGAAACGGTGTTTCTTGAGCAAGAGCGTCTTGGTTAAAGTGCAGTCTACCTTAGGTTTCTTGGGTTCCAGCAGCGTGCCTTTGTTTGAATGTAGACCACAAAGCAAACCCACATTTCTAAAACCAACTGCAAAAAGAACTTTAGAACGCGCGGCATCTGCCAAATTCGAACGCCTGGCAAGACCCACGCCTGTGCCGCAACAAAGACCTAAGAACCTTTACCATCCGCCAGAACGCCAAACGCAAAACCCACGGCGGTCTGTGCTGCAATCAAAAAATTGCAGCATTTACTGCTGGAAAGACCCACAATGTCTGTGCTGCAATGTACCTGAATTGGAATTGTGGCATCTTGTGGCGACAAAACACAAAAACAGAGAGCCTGGACATTGGAAATCCTTTCAACCAAAACTTTTTGCCTTTACACTAGGTTACGTGCGACGTCCAAGCCCAACTATTTGAAAATTGCAAAGACCAGAATGTGAACAAGTGCGAGCGAAGCACGAGCTCAAGTGCGGACAAAGACGTCAAAACATGCAATTTCTGTGCACTGCAATCTTGCGAATGACAATCGCACCCACTCCGTGTGGTAAACAGTTTGTGAAAAGTCAAAGACGCATTTATTTTGTGCAGCGAAACATCTGTTTAAAAGCTGCAGACACTTTGAAAAGGGAAAAGACCCTTTGCCCTTGGCTCAAAATGCCACTTTGCTCAACTGGTGAAGTTAATGCGGAAGTCCGCAGTTAGGTTCTGGTGCCTAACCAAAGTTAGCAAATTAGTGAGCAGTCTTTCATGTTGGTAAGAAGAATAAAGCTCAGCAAAATGGCAAGAGTGGACTTCCAGCGCAGCCTTCAGCGTTGAAGGCTCGGAGGGTAGGATCTTGTTTTCGAAGCTCTGTTTTGTGTGGATTTTAGGTACCTGTGAGCGACCGTGTTTTTGAATGTACTCGGGTGTAATGGTAAGAATGGTCTCTGGGTTTGAACCAAGAACATACAGGCGCAGGAAGCTGAAGAAGTAACCTTCATAACAAATTGGGGGTTGTGAAACGTTGGGCCGTTTGGTGGCCCAATTTCGCGGCCGCTTTCTTCTATTTTTGTTAAGGCTGCGGAGATTACCTTTTATTTTCACAGGGTCTTGCAACTTAGCCCCGCCAGCCCACCGCAAATTTTAGACTTGTTATCTCCGTTTATAAGATTGTAGCAAAGCATGAGGACATTAAAAGGCGCCCGGTGATGTTGTTAACATACCGTTAAAGTGAAACAAACGCTATTTTAAACCTTCTGTTTCTCCATTGGACCATCAGTGCAATTAATAGACTTGGGCCAGAACCAGTCTTACAAAGGGCCAGATGAAATGGTAAATAATATCAGAGCTAGTGATCTTTCTGTTTGCACTTGTTTGCAATACACTTCTGGCCGAGTATAATATAAAGAAGGTCTTGGTAAGACATCAACCAAGACACAGCGGTTGGAGTTCTGCAGAAAGAACTGTGTGAGATAAACAAAAGCGTTGAAAATAGAGATTAATATTTGAGTTTTTCTTGCATCAAGGCTTTGCCACATCAGCAGCAGTAAGCAATTCAAGTTGCTGCATAAGGTAAGACGTGGCGGAACGTAAGCTAGAATTCAGAGGGGAAGCCACAAAATGGATCTTCGGGCACGGTCTGTTTCATTCCAGTCGACAGGCCATCAACCGATTAGAAAAATGTGTGGACTTCTTGCAGCGGGCAGACATTGGTCAAGCCCATTGTGAAGTTGAAAATATGCATTCATTCAGTACATGAATTCCATTAATTAGAATGTTATGTATATGTTTAAAAACCTTCATGGATAAAGACTAGAAAGATGAGAAACCATAAGGTTTCAAGAAAATGTCAAGAAAAAAGTTGTAGATTATGAGATTTTGAGTTGCCAGAATTCTAAAGTTTAAAAAGGTGTGCAGAAAGGTGTGCAGAAGGGCTTCATAAATTATAAAATTTTCTAGCCCTTTTTGCAGGTTCCTTTGTTTCGTTCTCACTTCGTTCCCTCGTGCAGTAATTTCTCCTTTTCATTCGAGGTAACAACACAATTTTCATTCAGACCCCGCGATGACAGTAATGATGTTAACGTAAAGCCCCTAATAATTAAAAATAGATTTCTAGGGCTGTTTACTCTTTATGAAGCACATCTCAATATTAGATAGCATATTTTCATGCGTCTTTTACTTCGTTCACTTAGTCACTCACTAAATTCGTTCATTAGTGCAGTTCATTACATTCACTTCGTACTATTATATTCTTACGCAAAGGCCCTTATAAAGTAAGAACAGCTCATGGGCCTTTGGGGCGTTCACTTGTGCATTAATCAGTTTCACGCATTCATTGCATTCATGTGTAAATTAATTATTACACTTCGTTCTCTTCATAGTTTTATGAATGTATCCCGGGCGAACTAAAAGAATTCTCACTTGCCCGTGGCTTACAATATTAGAGCTAGTACTGCCGCACGAACGGAATAAAAGCGCGGGGCAAAAGAGAGCGCACAGAACGTTATTTTGGTGTGCTATAGCTTCGTTCATACGTTCAGTGAACCCATGCACAAATTTATAATTCACTTCATTGCGATCACTCTGGTCACGCTTTTATTCATATAATTTAAGGGCCCATTTACTATATTATTATAGGTTGTCACCCATTCCATCTCCAAGTTTTGCAGTTTTGCATGTTCGATTCTATGCTTCGTCATTTCGTGACATGTTCCAGTCTAGGTTCAGTATTTTTAGTCATGTTTGGTTGTGTGAGGTTTGAAAGCAATGTGTAAACAACTATGTAGTTGTTTCAAGAAGTATTGTCAATATGTTGCTTCTCTACACTGGCTGACAAGGTCTGGCTCATATTGAATATTGGAGTGAATCTACCTTCAACTTTGTGGGACTCTTCAAGACGTTTCAACCGATGGAAATTCAATGTGAAGCAAATTTTGTGAAAAGGACGTGAGCCAAGTGAACCCCGCAAGAGAGACTTCTTTTATAGACTACCAGTGGAGCTGTCAAAAAGTATTCGTTCGGTTCACAACCATTGGACCAAAGAAACCATCAAACATCTGGAAACATCTAGCAAATCACATAAAGGCACTAAGAACCATTCAACACCCATTGACAAAAACCAACATCAAATGTTCAAAACCCTTACGAACCACCCAAAACCAGCACTAATCTAATGATGTTCGTGTTGATTAAAGATGCACAACTTGATTACATGAGCTGCTAGAGTTATTCTCATCAAAGAAATCCAAAGGCGGCACAAGGCTTCCCAATCTTTAGGTCGGAGAGCATGCTCTAAAGGATCAATTGAATGGGCGTCGCTTTGCCATTGACGCTTTGGGTAAGCTCAAGACATGAGATCTTCCGTTAGTCTTTTTGTTGCTTCCTTTGAGTATTGATTGAGAAGCTTAGGGGTGAGATTAAACTGCCGGACAGCAATCCTACATAGTCAGCCGTATAAATCAAAACCCAGGATCTTGGATGAATCGTCCACGACCTGTCAGCTTTGGTCCAACTCTCTTGTGTGCCGACCATGGCCTTGGCTCAAAGAAAAGCTGTGCAGGTCGGGTGATTTTTTGGTAGCTAGCAACAACTGATGGTGTTTTGTGTTTGTTTGCTTTTGTTAGACTAAAGACAGGAAGTGTTTTGCGAGCTGGAGCCTACCAATGTCTTACCATCAGCTTTATTCCAGATTTCCTCAGCCAACGGCTTTTCTTTTACGACCCGCTTCTGGAGGAGTCTTCCCAAGATTGAAACAAAAAAACCCAAAGCATTTGTCACTGCAAGTTTTGGCTCAACTCGGCCGCTAAGCTGCAAAAACGTCGCCAAATCCGTTTGCCAAATCTCTCTCGTTGCTATGGCTCCCTCCTTTTTTTTAAAAGCTCTATCCCGCTTCCATTGGCGGTAATGTGCTTGTATGTCCCTTCGCGAGGTCAGATGTGTCACAAGCTAAACGTGCTCAAATGTGTTGGCGCATGGTGCAGGAAGTGCGCTCTTCCTGTTGAGGGTTTAGGGTTTAGTGTTGAGGGTTTAGGGGGACTGAGCTTGTACCAAATTTTATTGGAAAGAGATGAGATCACTCATCTCAAAGCAGCAATGTGCACCTATCATTGAATAAGTTCACATGTGAGACATGCACTAGATCTGGCATGGCTTTTACCTGACAGGTTTGGCTCGGATTTTGGAGAGTGTTTGATTCAAGGCAGCTCAGCTATTGCAATTTTCCGGCTGGAATCAAATCAACACTGTACCGTCCTTTAGGAGTTGCGGACATCCCTGTGAAACAAATACCACAGTGACCACAGATCACCAGCCGAGTTTTGGCCCGGTTTCCTTCGAAGCGATGCGATGAGCATCTCGGCAGAGTTAGAACGTCAAGGTTCCAGCACCTGGAAGTTGAAGTTTAAAGAGATTTTCGGCCACGAGCCGGAATTCGAACCGAGAGACCCTGGACAAAATGGCAAGTATCAATATCGGGTGAGCAACGTCTCTGGAATTCCTGACTCCATTTGGGGAGGAGCGGGGTCGCAAAGGGGCTGCAGAAATTGAAGCCCTCCGCAAGGTTTTTCAAGGTCTTGAAGTCCCTCTGCCTGCCGCCACTGCTGTGCAAGGAACTGGGCCCAGCCCAACTGGAAGCCATGCAGCCCCCAGCCTGCCAGCTCCAGGCGCAGCTTCTGAGCCTGTGCAAAGCCATCTGTCTGGTGAGGGCACTGGCTCGGCACCCATGCCCGGGGAGCAGGAGAGGTTCCCTTCGGATTCACGTGGACATACACTCCTCTACCGCAAGGGTGACGCTTCGGGAGTGCCAGAGGAAGTCGTGGGTTTGGTGGACGCATTTGAACAAGCCCCCTCCGCAAGAGGTGCCTTGACTGTCCTGGAAGTCTACAGGGCCAATGTCCCTGACGATTTGAAGAGCTCATGGGAGACAGAGAAGAGAAAACTGGAGGACCGAAATTTGAATCCAGACTTTCCAAAACCTGACTGGCAAGATCGTGAGCCCAGCAATGGCATAGATGAAGAAACCAAGCAATGCCTACGCAGAGAACGTGAAGAAGTTGCCTGGCAGCTGCTCACAATGTCTCAGAAACATGAAGGAGGTGCGCGAAGCTGCCGTGTATACCATGGGTGTCCTACTCCAAAAGTTGTCGAAAGTATTTGCAGGACAGGCTTCGCAGGAAATGTGCAGAAGACGAAGGGTTGGTTCGGAGAAGGGCTGTACTCGACATTGAATGCGCCCTATGCTTTGCGCTATGGGCTGGGCATGAGAGACTTCTGGGAGAAGCCAGGTAAAGAGGGCTGGGTGATTGCGGCCAAACTAGTGTATTTTCACGTATATCCCGTCACAGAAGCAGATAACAGCACTCCACTGGAACCCGGTCTTAAAGGTAAACGAATTGGTCGTGCAGATGGGGCTTGTGGCTGCGACTGTCAATTTGTTTGTGTCCGTGGACATCCTCCCTTCGGCGAGCACAAGAACCGAACCTACCATGCGTGCGAACATGGTCAGAGGCCAGAAGCCACAGAGATCGTAGTGAACCAAGAGGCTCGGATTTTGCCGGAGTACCTCATCAAAGTTCAGGTGCACAGGGGCAGGGTTTGTACTTGGTGAGATCTGGGACGTGGGCACAATCAATAACCCCCCTCCGCAGGCTCGATTCCCTACTAGTCCAGGTTTAGTTTAAGCATGGTACAGACATTGCATATGGCTAAATCTGTTAGCGTTTGTTAATCTGATTGGCACAGTATTGCCAAATTTGAAAAGTGGAGAATCCCAAAACTGTCCGTTCCGTTTCAAGTCATTGCTCACGCCCAGAAACTAGCTGGATCCATATGACATCTACATTGTCTTGTTTGTCATCCTCTCGATCCAACTGGTTTGCTCATCACATAAATCTCGTTTCCTGCAAGCGGGCACACCGATCATATGGCATTTGGCCTCCTCAAAGAGCCGCTTGAATGTTGAATTTTTCTTTCAATCCCAGCAGGAAACGCAGCTGATGCAAAAAAAGGCCAAAAACACGACGTACCCACGGGGCCATAGAAACCCTGAGTTGGACATAGCAGCCAGTGCCACCAAAGATCACAACCTAAGATGACTTGACTTCCATGTCCTGTATTGAAATGTACAGGGTGGCTAGCGGTCGAGTTTTTAGCACGTGCAAGTCCGGCCACAATCAAGTCCATGTCGCGAGGTCACAGGCGACGTGGGCTTGTGCCAGAAGATCCAAATGGCGTCTGAACACTGGGGGCGACACAGTCGCGCGTCTGTTGCGAGCGGCCCTTCAGACGGTGGCTCCACCACGGCGCAAAATCAAAAAGGCATACAGTACGACCAGAAATTGATGCAGCTGGTGAAGAAGGCGCTGGGAAGAGCACCTACTGAGACTGCTGAGGCTGAGACTGCTGAGAATGCTGAGACTACTGCGACTACGGAAACTACTGATGTGGGAGATATTCACTATAGGCTGCCCAAACACCAAGATGATGGCTGGGTTACGACAGTGTATGTAGGTGTATTAGGTCGCGATGTCGAGGGAGACCCGCAGCCGCGAAAAAAAGCGGCAAGGCAATCGGCCGCCCAAAAAGCCTGTGCGATTCTCAGGCCCCCTTAAGGAGGGTTTAGGGTTTAGGGTTTAAGGTTTAGGGTTTAGGGTTTAGGGTTCCGCTAGCAGAGCCCCCCAGGTAGTACCCAAATACTACGACCGGGTCAATTTAGGCACCCCAGGATGGGGATCGACTTTTCGGATCCTCCCAGGGTCTGGGTATGAGGTGGACCACGCACTGTTGCAGGAGCTTGCTGGGACCCATACTGTGGCCATCCCATGTGTACAGAAAGGGGCGCTCTGCGCATCGGCGCAAGTCGGCGGAGATTGGGCTGCAGCGACATGACGCACAACGCGTGGTACAGGGGAGGATGGCATCGCTCCGCGATGAAGCAAGAAAAGAACAGCTAACTTTGGGCAGCGGCAAGAAAGCACCAGCGCTAGGCCTCAAGCCGACCGGACCTGCAGTATGCTATCGACGGTTGGTTTGCCCACCAGCCAATAATCCCAAATTCCGTCCTTCCGCACCCTAAACCCTAAACCCTAAACCCTAAACCCTAAACCCTAAACCCTAAACCCTAAAACCTAAATCCTAAACCCTAAACCCTAAACCCTAAACCCCAAACCCTAAACCCGATACGCACGGACAGGGTCAGACCTCACTGGAGCCACCACCTTCAAGGCAAGCATCGGACCCTTGCTTCTATGTGGGGTGTACGAAAGTAGAGGTACCTTCTTGGGGTCCTTATCATAATTCAATCCTACGGTTTAGGGTTTAGGGTTTTTAGGGTTTAGGGTTTAGGGTTTAGGGTGGGGGTCTATAGTAGCCTGTTCGTGGACTACCATCTATTGCCTGGAACGGCGACTATGAAGTTAAAGGAGACCCTGATACAGGCCCATGGACTGTCCACCCCACCCCTAATTATGTCCGAAAGCCACGGAACCTTAAAAAACACGGGACAAGTGATACAAGCCCACGTGCTTGAAAAGATAAATGCTGTCATTCACCATCATCCGCAAGTCGCTCACGAGTGCAAGGTCGTCCTCAAAGCCGACTCCTCTGCTCCCGTCACAACCAATCACCTGAAACGTAAAGCTGCCGCTGCTCCCTGTGATGGTCCGAGTCTGGCCAGCCTGCACACGCTGCTGTACGGCGTTTGTGATCTGGAAGCTCATACCATGCAGCACGTCTTTCGCACGGCGAGCCCATGATCTCCGCCACCCCCATGCTGGGGCTCGTGCCGTTGGTGCCGTTCGTGCCGTTCGTGCCGTTCGTGCCGTTCGTGCCTTTCGTGCCGTTCGTGCCGTTCGTGCTCATGGCAGTTCGTGACCCTTTGCGAGCGCTTTCATTCTTCGTGTTCGTGATGTCCAGGGTGAGGTTCCCGACCTCAAAGGTGTCCGGCTCGTTGGAGAGGCGACGAACGGCAACTCTCAACGACTCGCCAGCATCATTTCTTTCACTTGTGAAGATGCAAGTTCTGTTACTTGCAATTTCGCATGCTTGGGCACTGACGTACCATGCAGCATAGTCCCAAAAGTCCGAATAGTCAGGTCTTTCGACGTAGGTCTCATTCTCTCAGGTCTTTCGAGTGTGTGTCATCTCGTGTATCCGCCGATTAGGCGTGCGCGGATGGACGAGCGCGCAAGCGGGACGAGCGAGTGAGCGGCATTGTGATGTGGGGAGTTTTGCAATAAATCAGATTCATCATGGCAACAGTAGACCAACACCCCAAACCTTAACAAACCACATTCATCCTGATAATCGTAGACCAACACTCCGAACCCCAACACCGTGCTGAAGATGCCATTTGCCAACAACCGAGCAACTTTGCAGTAGCCGCCAGCTTCCTAGCCTACACGCCAGAAAAGCGCAGCTTAAACGTCATAAAGCCTTCTTCCGTACTTCCTCAGCCCTTCAATCTCTACTTGGAGGCTCAGGGGCGCTGAGAACCAACAATTTTGAGTCTACTTAAGAACGTATTTTCGACGACTTCGGGGGCTGAGAAGTGCAGTTAAAAATTGGGGGCCTCCATGTAGGGGGGTTATTTAGGGGTCGTGGGTGAGCGAAAGTGGCGAGTCTATGTCGGGCCGCGAGTGATGCACGCTAGAGAAAAATTGATGTTGCCGCGAAGGGTATCTGTTTTCACGAAGACACAGTTTGACGATGGGGTGCCGGCCGAACGAATACATCTCTTCCAGAATGTTGGGCCAGATCCATACAATGATGACGACGTGGTTTCTCAAATCTGCAGCCGGGCTCGTTGGCTTACACTCATGGGTGTCCAGACATACGTTTAGCAAATACTTCGACTTCGCACAACGTTAAATATGTATCAATTTTAGATTGAATTCCAACAAATTGTCCATATCCAATACAAGAGTATGTTTGAGTACCAAATACAGTATGGTTAACATGATTACAAATCTCATTATTACTAGCCAAAAATCCGGATGTTGGTGCAACATTCCTCACAAAAATATTAATATCTCGCAAGTGGAGTGGTTTATTCATCACAATTTCTTTTCGTGTTTCAAATGAAAACGTTTGCGGATGCCAGAACGTATTGCCAGACAATGTTTGGTCCAGGTAGTGATTTGGCATGGATTGATACTTCGACGGAGTTTAGTACACTGACTTCGCAAATGAATTCTATGACGGCGCCACTCTCGACTATTTTCTTCTCGTTGACTCTATGGTCTTGACCGAAGTCGATTTGTGATAGTTTGGTCATGCAAGGATTCGCCAAGAATTCTATGACTTGGTGGAAAACACAATTGATTTGATGAGTTTTGTCAATCATGTTTCGTGGTTCTCCGCAAAGTACAAAAAGTCATCAATGTGCTGGACAGCTGGTATTTAAAGCAGGCAAGCCCAATGACCACACTGCAACTCAAACCAATATTAACTGCACACTTTTTGATCCTCCGCACATGACTTCGTTTCTTCGACAAAGTGAACTACGGTGCAACATTCAAGATCTTGGCCAAGATCTTGCATGACGATGACCAACATACCTCAGCAACATGAGCTCTTTGTTTCACAAGATCTTTTTCTTTCATCGACATGTGCCATGATTTCTTTGGTCTTGAATAGATTTCCATTCCATGTAACAAAATATTTTGAGACTTTCGTACTTCCATATGAGATAACCTCAATTCTCTTTCCGTAGTTAGGTACTACTAGGGACTCTACAGGGGCACGTATGTAGGGGGTTCTCTCTGAACTTCTATAGGGGGAAGAAGATTCAGGGCCCCTTCTTAGGGCTCCCCTCCTCGTCCCAAGTGCCTCCTCATGCCCCAGCCTTCCGCCATGTCGGGCCAGTCGGACCTGGACCCCAATCTGGGGGAGCCGGGGTTCTCCTTCGCGTTGGCTCTGGAGGAGGCTTGCGGCTTGAGTTTTTTTTTTTTGTTTGGGGGGGCGGTTTTTTTTTTGGCGGTTTGAGGGCGCTAGCAGTTTGAGGGTTTGAGGGTTTTTTGGGGACTCTGGGGCTTTGGGTTTTACTTGGTTTAGGATCTTGGTAGGTTTTTTTTTTTTGGAGCTCTTTATGTGCGCCGGGAGGCGAGTCGTTGCTATTCTGAAGGCGATGGTCCCCAAACCTTAAGCTGAAACTGTAAAGCCCGCTTTTTCCTCAACCCTACACCCTAGACCCTAAACCCTAAACCCTAAACCCTAAACCCCAAACCCTAAACCCTAAACCCTAAACCCCAAATTATTGGAAAAGCTAGTTGAGGGCTTAGGGCCTTCTAGGGATGACGGGATCGTGAAACGTGCTGAGGTTCTCTGATGTTCTGGGACGTTCTGGGGTTTAGGGTTTAGGGTTTAGGGTTGAGGGATTCAGGAGTCAAGAAGAATCTTCGGGTCAGAAGCTGGAACGCAAAGACTTCTAACCCCCCAAACCCGAACACTCTCGAACCCCTCAGCCCTGCCTCCCTCCAGCCTTAGAGCCCTAAACGTTCAGATTCAGGCCCTAGGGTTTAGGTTTTAGGGGGTTTAGGGTTTAGGGTTTGGGGGTTTAGGGTTTCGGGCCTAGAGTGCCCGGAAGCCTTCAAGACCTAGACCCTCAACCGCTCGGATCAGGTGCAGGACATGCAGAAGCAGTCCCTGGCAAGCCTCCACTTGCTCACTGGCGAACACCAGCTCTGGCAGCAGAAGGCCAACTCCGGGGCTTGGGGTTGTTTAGGGGTTTCGGATTTCCGGATTTAAGAAATTTGCCCTGAACCCTAAGTTCTAAACCCTGGGCCCTAGACCTTAAACCCCTAAACCTCAAACCCTGAACCCTAACCGGGTTTTCGGAAGCATGGTGTTGGGAATCGGTTGCCCATATGCGGGGCGGGGGCCACAAGCTCACACCCGTACGGAAGGAGAAGGAGAAGCAGCCAGAGGGCACTCCTGGGCTGATAAAAAAGAGAGAGATATGTAAATATATACCTGGGACATAATTTACCTGCAGTTTAGTGGTACTTACCTCTTCATTAGTAAGTATAACCCATGCAACTGTAGGTAAAGAGGGTCCCAGGTACGGTATCCCCCCCAAAGATCCATGTTGTTGTTTTAAAGTTCCACGCCAAGTTGCAGTTCCCTGGCATCTTGAAATCTGCGATTTCCAGGTCAGGGCTCAAGATTGAAGATCTAACGTTTCTGGAAGACTCTTGGGCGGGCCGTCGATGTCCGTATGAGTTACAGGTGCTGGAGACGGAAATCAAATCTCCCAGGTATATCACATGTACATGTAAATCCCGGTATAGCAAAGGTGCATGTAAACCCCCGGCCTCTGTGTGACCTTTGGATAGGCCTGGCCAAGAAGCTTTTGCTTGTTGAACTCCTTTTCCCAAAACCATCCAGCATATCACTTAATGGAATCGTTGGGAAGGCAGGGGCTTGTGATACATTTGCCTGTGTGTCTTGGGTCTGGATGTAAGGGCTCATCCCTAAGAAATACCAAAGACTTCTTTCCTTCCTGGAAACCCAAAAACCCCAAAACCGCTTTGACAAGTACCAGATTGAAACGAGTTGAAGTCGAAACTAGTCGAAGTCGTACGGTTTAGGGATTCGGCACGAGATATGTCGC